TTCAAATGAAAACTCTGTGAGCAACAAAATCCCAACTCTAATTAGCCAAAACCTTTATCCAGAGGTAGACATCTGGCACAGAAAAACTCTGCTTTCTACTGCTGCAGTATGACAAAGTTTTAATGGTTCAAAGAAAAATCTCAGAATACTCTAACATGGACAGATAATTCTAAGGGGCACGAACAGTTCTGAGATCTGCACGGTCCAGTTTTGAAAAAAATAGGATGGATTCTCCCTGAAACAAGTGATCCACTGATAGAAATTGCCTTCCTTGAAGAATTTATAGTCTAAAATAATCCAAACTAAAAGGTTCATGTTCCATCTTCATTATTAGCAGAGTGTTTCTACAGGACCAATGGTTTAAAAGGCTGAGGGGAGCAGAAACTATTCTTTACTGCTGAATTTAATGGATCCTTAGTGGTGTCCTGCTATGCATCTTTTAAATAGAAATTATGTCATATAAACTGGATTATAATAGATTATTTCAAAAAGAGTGAGAAGAACTTGTCATGCAAAGAAGTAGCTGATCCTTTAGAGCTTCCTGCAGTGACAGTGGATTCACTGTAAGTATGACAGGTACAATATGTGAGTATCTATCTATGTTCATAGATTGCAGAAAACTGTTTCCAAACAATTTTGCTATTTTGAAGTATGTCTTTCAAAGATTTACAGCCTACTCATAAGGTCCTGAAGGCAGGAAAAAGAGAGCAGAAAAGAATTCCTGAATAAAACTGCAGAATAAATTGCCAGCAAAGACAAAAACAGGTACAGAGAGTTGCACCCCCAGTGCCAATCTCCAGTGTTCTCTATGTTGAACCCCTGACATTTCCAGAGGTTTGCAATCATCATTTTAGCCTTCAAACTAAGACTACACATGCAACACAGACTTTGCACTGGAAGTGGTGCAAATCAATGCACTGGATTTAAGTTTCCTTTCCAAGGACAGGTGTTCCCAAATTAGGTCAGTACAGGTATCCTATAACAGATATAAATTTTGCTGCATATTACATCCAATTGGACTAGACTCTAAGCCAATCCTCTCCACTTGAACAGTGAAGGATTTTGCCTTGTTCCTAGATCCTAACTGCATTTCATATTTCCCCTTACATGCAAAAAGTTCAGGAGTAACAGTCCTGCCACACGTTAACTTATGTTGGACAACTTCAGTCATTATAACCTGGTGAACTCAGGTGTGACATTTATAGGAAGTTATTCCATGTATCACATCTGATATTTCCAAAGCTTTGTGGCATCTGTCCCTATTTGGATGGACTTTCAACGTGAACATTCACCAGGTAAGCTGGAAATAACAACTGTGTGTATGGTTGAGATACTGAAACTCTCCAATTTCAAACACTGAACAAGCACCTTCAGTTGACTTAAGTTTGACAACTCATCAAGCTTCTTACAGCTTTACTATCACCATTCACAGGCTACAGGGGAAGATTATTTGTCTATTATTCCTTTTTTTTGGCCAGCTTTCTTCTTCATACAGATGACTGCAAGTCCTTTCCCAGGTGCTATATTCAGTTCATGTTTACTCCAGCCCTTTTCACTTACATTTCAGGTATCACTTATTTAGACTTCAGATTTATTTGTCCATCAGTTTCAACTGTCACTGCTGCTAAAGGCTCTGACACAGGGCAAGAATCGTTAACACGTCCGTGTTAAACTGCTGAGGATTATTAGGACTCCAACCTATGGAACATGTGAAATTGTATTTCAATTTGATCTGTCTGAGTTTAATCATTGTTCTTGCCACTCAAATCTGAAGACTCTTCTGTTGCCAGTTCCTCCATGCTTTCTGACATCCTTAATATCAGCTTAAATCTCTCCTCCAGGGGTGAGTTATTTACTACTAGTTCTTAACTGAGTCATAAAAAATTCATGAAGTTATGCAATGTAAGTTGCTCCTCTGCTTTCTCTACTCAATTCCTTATCATAACTTGCTTATATGATATTATTGCTTTTTCATTAGTTAACAGCATACTTGGAAATGGAGTTATTCGAAGTGTGAAGCAGTTGTAGAATTACTCTCTTATAGTTATTACTGCTGTTTGTTCCTGCATAATGCTTTGAAATTACAGCTTTCATGTATATTAAATTATGAGTTTTATCCTGACTGTGAGAAGCTGAGCTAAAAGCCTGCTGTTACTGACAGCAGCTTTCACCAGAGCATCAGCCACCGCCCTGGAGAAATCCTGGGTCTGGGGACACCTCAAATAATAAGGATCAAGACTGTGAAATTGATTTAAAACAGGAGAGCAGAACTCATATTCCTGCAAGTAGTGCTGAACAGACACACTGCACTGTTTTAGAGGAATCACCTTTAAATGCTGTTGTCCACCAGAGACAACAGAAGTCACAAATAAAGTCAGATAATCACATGTGCAGCGAAACAGATTTCCTTAGACAGAGAAAGATGACAAAAAAAAAATTGGATGCAAGCAATCAAATTGCTGAAGTAGAAATCAAACCATCTTACTATGGGACCTGCAGAAAGAAACCACAGGAACAGTTTGCTTCTAAGAACTCCCTTCTGAACTCCCTTTCAATAGCTCTTCAGCTATAAAAAGATTCTATCAAAAGCAAGTGGGATTAGTGGGATGATTTTATGTGATGAAAGCCAGACAGAGCTGGTTTCCTCCTGTACTGCTGACAATTAGTCCAGATCACAAAGACTAGTTGCTGCTCAACAAGACACCTAGCAGTAAAACACTCCTCACCATGACCATCCAGATGTTAAATCTCTTATTACCCTGGACACCTGCCACCTCTCTCAGATGGGACAATCCATGCTTCAGAGATATACAGGAGGCAAAAAAATTGTTCAGACTCTGCTTAAAAGACTCTCAGATGCACAGGCAAAAGCAAATTTTGCTACCACATGAAAGAGAGGCTACTTTCCATCCTGCAGGGAAGGCAGGCATAAAAAAAGCTCAGAATTGTGACAGATCTAGAGGGAAAACCCTGTAAAGTCAGGCAC